GTGAGTAATTGAACTAAGTATTGTCGAGCACGAGCACGTGAGATGTTCTAGCGTTTGTTATAGCGCGACTGTTGAAATTAAGTGTATCGTAAAGTTGTATTCGGAAAGAATAAACCAGTTTTATTAAGAAAGGACTTGTGTCGCTAAAGTTTCGTTGGAACGAAGTTACGGAAAATTAACTAACGACTGGAGGCGTAACAATATACAATCATTAAACAGTTGGTCCACTGTATAACATTATTCACATATCTAAATTAATTTAAGCTACTATATGGTGTACTAAAATGAACTAAAAACACCTTATAGATATAATACCTTCAACGATCGGCCAAAATGATCAAAACTTGGGTAATCAATAATGAAAAAAAAACAACAACAGGCCATTTTTAATATTTGTTTGTTTGTTGAATTTTACTCACGTCTACTCGAGGGTCAGCTGCACTAGCCAATCATAATTTTGGTAGTCATAAAGTAGAGAGAGAGAGAAGGCAGCTAATTAACATCACCCACTACTAACTCTTGAGCTACTCTAATTGAATAGTGGAATTTGACCATCACTCCGATAATGCATACATGATCTCCAAGAACATAGAGAGACTTTTTCTGGGGATAATAGAGAGAGAACCATGGAAACTCATATCCACAATCTGGCATGCTAACCACTAGCTGATGTTAATGGAGTTTATCATGAGTAAACAGAATATTTGTTTAGTTGTCATGCCATTTTGTTTGGTTTGTTTCAGATATTTGTGCATAACTACATTAGAGGTTTCTACACTAGCTATCCCTAATTTTCAATTGATATACAAAGAGGAAGACAGCCAGTTAACAGCACCCCACCACCAAAGCTTGGGCTATTCTAACCAAGTAGCATGATTTGATTGTCCCTCCTATAACAAAATGCACCCATGGTTCCCACGTGAGGAACCAAATTTTGTAGCAACAGACACTTGAATCTACAGTATAACATGCTAACCAGCCACAGTCATGTCATATGATACATTTTTTTAAAATTAGTAAGCAACCATAAAACACTATTTTGAAAGAAACATTACTTACATATATATATTTATTTATTTATTGCAATTTCCATCAAAAATGATTTAAACTTAACATAAATATATATGTGACATTTTTTATTTTAATGACATTCATATTGTAACAATATCTGATTGGCAATATACTTTTCTAAAGCTAACCAACATTACATTTACATTTAAAAATATTATAAGGACATCTCTAACATATTCTTCCATACTTCCAAAAATGTAAGTTAATTCAAAAAATATGAATAAAGTGTGAGCATGTTTGGTGCTGGGTTTCAATCCCACAGCCCATGGAATGTAAGTTGAGTGCACTTACCACCAAACAACATTATAAACTAAAGTTAGAAGAACTAAATAAAGTGTATAGTTTCCAATAAAAACTAAATATCTCTAATAGGTGATTACCATTTATTTTTCTGTTTATTTTTTATTTCCAATCTTTCACAAAGATAAACAGTTAACTCCCTGTTATTGTTTCTAGGTTTTTAAAGTATAATTACTCTAAGTAAGATTATGGAAAATGTTATTAAAATTGAAGGCATCCAAATGATAAAACAATGCATTTTATACACTATAAATAATATAGCTTGAAATATTTTATTAGCTCGTTATTAGGTATATATATTTAGTTCTATGTAGGTAGTTTGCTGTAATTAAAAGTTAATATTAAGTAACAGAAAAAACTTTTTACAAACTAACAGTTACATATAAGGATTTTACAGTTGATAATTTGTAAGGTCAGGTATAACGTACTCTTTGTTACTTAACGCCATACTGTTGATGTTATTATCCACGTCCTTGTTAACACTCTCAACCATTTTCTGGTAGTCACTAATGCTGTAAAAAAATTTTTAAAAATAACTAATATTATATAAAAATCTTGAAGCATCTTTTGCAAAACTATGTTATTTAACATCATTAAACTTTAACACAAAAGTAATAGGCATTGAATTATCACAGAGGTGCTATCATTTTTTTTCAAAAACAATAAATTTTGCTTGTTCATATAAAAGTAAGAATGAAGTCCAGAACAATAAATCCTAAAGGTTTTCATTAATTGTACATGTATTATACTATTTTTATGGTGGTCGAATCATTTAAATATTATATTTCATAATCTGCTGTATGTTATCACCAAGGAACAGTCAAATGCTATTAGATCTATGTTTCTGTGAAAGTGTTCACGGAAATATTCAGTAATATTAAAAGAAAAATAGATATGCCATTACTATACTTTCCTGATAGATAAGGAAACACTAAATCAGTCTGGGGCTTGTACTTGATTATGAATTTGTGTATTTAGATAAACTGCATAAATGAGATTAAAGTTCAACAACAATTAAAGTATTTAGTCTAATTAAAGAACTAGCAAGTAAACAAATATTATATAAATTAAGAATCTCAAGCAAAAATCTAACAAACTGATTTAAAGCAAAAAAAAGTAGTTTTTAAACCAAATAAAGCCATATACATATGGTTAAAACTTAAGCATACAGAACAAACATCATAAAACCAGAACTGCAATAACCTGAGTACTTTCAGAAGGTAACTTTCTTCTTTAGGGATAAATAGGAAATGACAAAACATTAAAATACTCTGTGAAAGAAGACAAGTTCCAAGAGTATAAACCGAACATAATAATTTGATCTCATTGTGTAAAACCTCCATAGGACTTCCTTTAGTCCCCTCCCTCCATCATCTCTATCAGCACTTAAAGCATATCTAAAAACATACAGTGTCTCCACTAAACTTTTTTGTTATATCTTTTATTCATTTACATGGAAATTTGCATGAAAGCTAAGAATGATCTTTACCTTTTACCTCAAATTTCCTCTATTTTCATACAAATAATACATAAAAAACACTTTTATTACAATAGTACAAAGAAGAAAAATGAAAGCTCATACACATAAAAGGAAAATTATGGATTATGTCACTATTTATATCAAGCACTAATATATATTATCATACCCAGCACACTACAAAGACAGAATCAGTTTATGTACCTACAAATTAGAATTTATACAGGACTGAGAAAATATAGTGTCTAAAAAAAAGTATAAATGCACAAAGAAAATATTATATAAGCCAAACCTACAGATAAAATTACATACCTATCATCAAGAAATGTTAAGGTAACCATGGCAATGAAATGGAGACAGAGTGGTAAAAAAAAATAACTTTCACACTTTTGTTAAATATGCCACCATGGCTGATTAAGAAGTATTCTCATCAGTATATGATGAAAGATGTCACCTATGCTCATTTTATGAGTTAATTTAAAGAAAAAGGATCAATACTGGATGCTCCAAAGAGTAGTCATACACACACTATGTGAATGGAAGAGAACTTAAGAGAGTAGCAAAGTTATCTGGCCAAAGTCCATTAACATCTCAGAGAGGTTTTGTCGAGTGATGGGTTGGATGTTCTAAACATAAGCATACAGCTCCTCAATTTAACAATTTTTATTTGTTAAGATTGGGTTGAGAATTTGAAGAAAGTTGTCAAAGAAGAATGAGCTATGGTTCATGTTGATCTCTGTACATCATTCCATTTTACAACAATATGAAAAATGCTAAAGATGAACAATTTGAACATTTTAAATTCAGATGTATTATGCTTTCAATTTTTTCCCTTTTCTCTATGTTGCTAGTTATATTACCAGTCACGTCTGGTTCATACATGAATTTCATTGAATGTGAAGATATTTTCTTACCACCATCTATACAACATATGTAAGCATTTCTCAATAAATACACTCAATTTTATGAACCAGAGGAGGAAAGTAATAAAATAATATATATATATTATAAAAAGAGTCTAAACCTTTACATTACATAAGATCAGACTCACATTAATATGTTTAATAAAAAATAGCACATAATTGCTGACTAAGATACTGTTGTGGGAATGAAAAATAAACTGCTGTGTAAATTGACACATGACACATTGCTTCCACCCAGCATACCATTAAGAACTAATAACATAACTACTGTAATACATTTTTGTGTAGATTCACAAATCTTATGTATAAAAAGGATTACCTGTAATCAAGAACTGTCCTTCTTCGCAAAGACAGAATATCACTCCCACTTGACATTTTCTTCAAAAATAAAAAGGATTCACATATAAGAAGACATCCACAGAATGTTTCAAAGTGACTTACATCAATGGCTCATACTCTGAATCAAATATGTTTGTAAGGTAGGAGTTCAAAGCACAATAATAAGAATTCAAACAGGTGTTGTAGAGAAAGACACAATGTGCAATGTCCACACTTTTAAATATACACTGGATAGTATCTTTATCAAGATCACCATCTAATATTGGCGTGGATCACAATAACAGCTTAAACTTAACATGCCAAAGACTTTTTAAGGTGCCAGGAGTGACTTCTTGGATTGTAACACATTCATCAAGAAGTATGTTCTGCTGAAGATTGAAGTATACCAAAGACAATGCTCAAAGGTCTATCCTGAATATACTTATTTGGGCTGAGACCTGGTGACTGTGCTTGCAAAGTAAAATTATTAAAGTCACTGTAATGTTCTGGCCAACACCCGTACAGAAAATGGTTGATTAGAGTCTCTGATGATTCTATGTCAGGTAAAAATGCATGAACACCTGCTTTGACAATGTACCCCACACCACTATACCACCTACAGAAGCTTGCACTATTAATCCAACTGCCTCAGGTAGCCTGTTGTTTTTTCTATATTTTTATTGTAACAATATGAAAAGCTGAAATAAGACTCATCAGATTGCATCACACCGTTTTAGTCACTGATTTTCATAGTCTGTGCGCTAAGTGCCAATGAAGTTATGTTTTTTTGTTTGTGTCTGAGATAAGCTATTTTTTTAATGTTGTCAGATGCAATATGGCAGTTCTGTAAATGTTCTTTGCATAGGATAGTTGGAAAGTAAAATTGTATAAAATGTGAAGGAATTGTTCAGTTGGAAACAGTTTAATGTTTGCAACCCTTTACAAGCATGTCCAATTGTCTTTATCCTCTGCCAATTATAAGCAGCAAGAAACCAAAGTTACCTTACTTAGAAAATGTAATTCCTTTCTACTGACACTTTAGAAAAACCCTGATGCTAGATGGGTACCCACTGTAAAGCTATTTTGAAATTCAGATATCACTGTTCTTGCCTATGATCATGTAGACTAATCACATTATTATTACATTTGTACACTTAATGGACAAAAGCAATGACCTGACATATTATATCATTAGTGTAACTTGCACATACTAATACATGGAATGTTGTAAAATGTGTGTGAAAGATCCTAATAAATTGGTCAGTCACAGCAAATTAGACAACCTTGTTGGAAAATACATACAAGATTATTGATAATATATCCCTCTCTAGTGTTTCAAAAACAACAATACAGTTGTTAAAATTACAAAGAGTTAATGTAATCAAACTGAATTTTCTTGATGTTTTTCAGACCACCAATAACAGTTATGATTTCAATTTGAGAAATATTAAACCAGAAGAGCCTAAATGATGGTAGTAAGATATACCAGGAATATTCCATAAAAGTTAATTTTAAAACTTGAAATAAGGATATAAAATATGCAACTTGAAGATGAAAAGTAAAATTATCCAACATGAAATACTGATCAATTACACAGGCCTGCTATTGTTTTATTGTCTTGAAATTTTTATATGTTCTACAGTAATTACTGTACGCTGAATCCAAAAATGATATCCATTTTTCTCTATCATGTCCAGATTTTTCACAAAACATATGTACTTTTACGTAAGTGAATAATTTTCAATGAAATCAGGTCACATTCTGTTGTGCTTAAAATGTTGAAAACCATTGGTTGTAGATTTTTCTAGACCAATCGCAATGTGAGAGTCTTATTGATCATTCTAGAACCCACGAGAAATACACCGCTAGTATATAAATGGTTAACAGGCCACATGACGTATCATTTCTGAATTGTATTTGTTTGTGCATGCACTTTGACATTATTTTTTCTTTTTAATATTAGTTATTCATTGCTGTGGCAACAAGAGGTTGTGTAAATGACCCAAACATATTATGTTATATTTGTGGTAAATTTGTTGTAAAGAAACAAAGGGAAAACATTATGGAATTCGTCAAAAAAGCATATTATACGTATTTTGGAATAAAACTTGGGGACCAAAACAAATCATGGGATCTGCAAAAAGTTTGTATCATTTGTATCAAAGAGTTGAGACAATGGACTAAAGGTAAGAAAAAGTCTTTATTTTTCGATTTCCAATGGTCTGACATGAGCTGAGAAACCACGAAGATGACTGCTATTTTTACTTGTGTAGCTTGCAAAGCTACAACACTTGAAATAAAAAGGAAATTTCTTATCCGAACCTTCAATCTGCTACAAGACCTGTTGATCATGGACCTGATGTACCTGTATCTACTCCATCGGAGACTCTTGAACAGTTTCATCTGATTCTGAATCTGATGTCAATAGAAATGATGATAGGGAATGTTTTCAACCTAAAATGTCTGGTGAACCACAACTTTTCACACAAGGTGAACTTCATGATTTGATGAGAGATTTGGGCCTTCCAAAAGATTCTTCAGAGAATTTAGGGTCCAGACTTTGGGCTAAGAACTTACTTTCTCCAGAGACATC